TTATAGTTTGTTTAAACTATTAGAAAAAAAAAATTTCTCCTATCTTATTTATTATTTGGTTTTGGTTAGTGGCTTGACAATTGTTTGTTCATTTTCCATCATAAATTTTTTTTTTAATTAGTTTTAAGTTTTAACTCATGTTATTATCTGATCAATATTAGACACATGCCACATCTATTGAATTAGAATTTTGTTTATGTATCCCATTATCATCAAACAAACTTAAATTTCAATTACATAGTTATATATACTAATGTATTTTAGTGCGAATTCATAAGTAGTATGCGTATGTATGTAAGTTATGTTTGGGTTATATAGGCTCGTCATACAAAAACTCTAATAGAAATAATGAGAATAATGTTTAAAACATGATGTGATTATTAATCGAAAATTTCAAATATTATGTTACTGAATACTGATAAATGAGCTAAAAGGACAAAAAGCTCGGACAAGTGACAACTTTTGGGTGAGAAAAGAGAAACAAAACATTGTTAGACTAAATGGTAACTGTGAAGAAGAAGTTAAACGGAAAATAAAACAAAGAAGCATGCATCAAAGGAAAATGCTACTAACGGAGCTATCATCGTGAACACGCCAAATGGTCTCACCTAGAAGATTAGCCACCGATAAAATCGTTAACTGCGGGAAGTAATTCTTCTCCGCTACCGGTAAAGTATTCGTCACTATCACTTCTTGCAGCAAACCGCTCGATAACCGCTCTATTGCAGGCGGACTGCGACATTGAATATCCATTCAAGAAAATTAAAACAGTTACTGTGTTTGATTGTTTCAATAAGAAAATAACCGAAAATAAAAAGATGGCGATTGTTACAATAAGAAAATAACCGAAAACAAAAAGATGGCGAAATCGAGCCAGTGGATTTACCTGAAAACCGCGTGTGTGCAGCAAGCGTAAACCTCCCGCGCACCTTCATCATGTAAAAGAGCTGCTCCTTTCACAATGGTTCCTGCAAAATGAAAAATAAACAGTTCTTAATAATGTTGTTTCGGTCTGTAAATCACAGAACAGAATTTGGAAGGCTTTTGTCTGGATAACATGTTCATGGACAATAGAACTTCACACGGTTTTACTAACCAGCGGTATCAATCATGTCATCCACCATCACTGCCACTTTCCCTTTTACATCACCGATTAGGTTCATGACCTATGGGGAAGAGTATTACTAACACTTGTGTGAAGGCAAGAAACTGAATATTTAGAAAAGTTTCAAATTTTACCTCAGCAACATTGTGGCCATGACGCCTTTTATCGACAATGGCAAGAGGTGCATCAGATAATTTCTTAGCAAATGCGCGAGCCCTGGCAACTCCACCAACATCGGGAGAAACCACTACCAAATCCTCCGAGGAAATCGACTTGCTAGCAAGATAATCAAGAATCACAGGCTGAAATGTAATCACAGGATTTGGGTAAGATTTCAAAGGTCATAAAACCGACAAGGCCCATCTCTTAAGAACGTCGAGATTGAGGTTTACCTGGCAATAGACATGGTCCACCGGTATGTCAAAGTAACCCATGGATTGTCCTGAATGAAGATCACATGCAAGAACTCGATCTGCACCGGCTTCGGTTATAAGGTTCGCAACCAGTTTAGCAGCAATGGATTCACGCCCTTGTGTCTAGAAGCATCAATAGACAAATAAGACGAATTTTCATTACGCAAAAACAAAAATGATCAT